CCAGAACGTCGTCCCAAAAACAGACAAAACAAGCGTCGACGGCCGTAATTCACATCTATATTGACATGAACATATATATTTTTGTTAATGCGAGTTTGTGACTGAATAAAATTTTCTCCGAAGAGTTTATATCTTTATATCTTGTCTTAATCTGAGTTATTAACGCCCTAACCCCTACAAGCAGTCTCGGATATCAATTATCAAAATGGTAATATATAGAATCCGTCAGACGAAAAATTAACCTTATCCTTCATTTGTTTTTCACCTTCTTTGATGCATGAAGCAACAGTCGAAAAACCTGGCTGCTCCCATAGCAACCTCGTTCCCAGGGTCTCTCTTCCTCCCGCTGAAAGCTTTTGGCGGGAAGAAGAGAGACCCTGGGAACGAGGTTGGCTCCCATAGCTGCGACCATAGAATGCGACATCGGGTTTTCCCTGTTTTTCTTCTCGTCAGCTTTCACTTTGCTGCAGCCATACATGACACATCTTTGGACCATTTTTCTGACACAAAACACCAACATAACAGAGGAAAACAGGGAAATTCAGAAAGCAACCTCGTTCTCAGGCTCTCTCTCGACGACAAGGGAGGAAAAGGAGAGAGAGCCTGGTAACCGTTCTTGTTTTGACGGACCTCGTTTTGACGTCACAACCAACTAGCGCCAGTACTCCACTGTGTGCGGTTTTTTGACCCAACCGGAAGTGAAATTTGATATTTTTGGATGGCTAAAACGCGGTGAAGCATATATTTTTTTAGAAGTTCACATCAGGTTTCCATGTAGATTCAACAAGGTCAAATAGAAAAGCATTTATTCTCAAATTCCGCTTCCGATATGGATTTTCTATTTCTTTTTTCTTTCTTGTTGCTATGGATGTTAATCTCTGACGTTTGCGCCATTCCCGACCCCAGACCTTTGCTGCTTTTCTTGGCTTCGCAAGCTTCAGAAATTGCGTCATTTTAAGTTTTGATTCGGGTGCGTTTTTAGTTTTCACCAAAATAACAAGATCGTTTTGCGTGCATCAAAAACCTCAACAAACTCAGAGATTGTAGAGTAGGTGGAAAGAAATATATTCCCCAAGTTTTGGTTTGGTAGTGTTCATTGCAGCGAAGTTATTGGGAAAACAATATTCAGAAAATTACAGAACTTAGTATGGGTCCGCCATATTGGTGTACCAATTTGGTACACCAAGATGGCGGCCAATAATGTCTGCGAGAAGAAAAAAGATTTTGCTATCGTCCAAAGTCATGAGTTTTCACTTCTGAATGCTTTAGTTATCATTTTTAACTTATTAGCATATCTGAAAAGTATTTAAAAAGTGCGACAATATTGGTTTCTGTAACATTTCAGGTCACGTTGAGCCAGGCGTCTCAAATTTCAAAATGTTTTATCTCCAAAACGAAGCAATCTGCTGGCACAAAAATTTCCCCAACAACTAACTACACTGATGTAAAGAATATACTAAAAGAACAGCTTTGTAGGATCAATAATTTTGAATTTGATGACGTCATGATGACACATTTTGATGACGTCGCGTGAAAACGACCTGTAGTCTACTTGGAGTTTGTGAGAAAAACACTGTGTTCTAATACAGATGTTATTGAGCTAGCGTGAGGTTTGTAAATATTGGTGTCGTCCTTTTTTGCAAGTTTGTGTACCGAGCCGAAGGCGAGGTCCATAAACTTGCAAAAAAAAGAACGACATCAATATTCCCCAATACGAACCGAACAAGCTAGTTCAATTGAGTTTTTATTATTAATGGCTTTTTTTAAACTTTGCTGATAAATGGGAACCAATCAGAATGCTCCTTTTCATCATGGTCCAATTTGCCATATATAAATAAGAATCCAATATTTTGAGAGACTAAGCTAGGCGCGCGCGCTATGATTCTGTTTAATATTGCGTGGGCTGCTTTCAAATGTATATGACAGATATTTTTTTATTCGCTTGTTAAAATCTACATGGTGTCCTGATTTGAACGGCAAATGCAAACCTAGAAATCGTTTACTGGATTAGTCACTTATGCGAGGACTGGAAACGAAAAATTTTCGGAAAGGTTTCGTTGGCTTTTCACGAACACTTTCCGAAGACGTCATTTTTCCGAGAACTAACGAACACTTTCCGAAATGGTCCGAATGGTCGTCACACAAACAAGAACGACGACATTCATCGTGTGTGGTAAATTAAACTTCGAGGTTCCTTTGAAAACTATTCGCAGGGTCCCTCTCAACCAGTGTGCTTTGCGGTCGCGTGTTATTGTTTTCATCCGGGGAACTCGATCTCTCGCGCGTGGGGCTAATGTATGCCATACTTTCGAAATTGTGCTAACTTGGGTCGTATAACTGCTTTTTGTAGCCAGAACAAGGCCAGGATCCTGTAAAAAGTGTTTTTTAAATTCAAGCCGCCATTTTCGCGGCACCCCAAAATGGCCGCCGTAAGAATATTGGCGCGCAAAGCACCTTGGTTGAGAGGGACCCGTTGGACCCTTGGAACCAAATCGGATTGACCGCGGCGATAGAAAAAAGAGGACTGGGCACTAGGCAAGCTGTAAGGAAGTGACACGTTGAACGTTCTATTTTTTAACACCGATCATTTTCCAGATCATGCGGCGATTGCATATATATTAATCATAATCATAAGGAACTATCTGTTACGTAATGTAATAGGATATCGAACACGTGCAGTGTTCTACCGCGTACGGTTGTAACATCTCGCTAGCAATCAGTTGAATACAAGAAACTTAAACACTATCCAGCATAAACTAAACATCTATCATTCTGGAATTAAGATGGCAGCCTTATTTCAACCTGCTCATAATTCTGAGCATGTTACTCCAAGGGAAGAAAGTTTCAATGAAGAGACGCTCGATCAGTCATGCGACGTTATTTTGGTGGTCGAAGATGGCAAAGAATTCAAAGCTCACAAACGTGTTCTGTCAGAGGCAAGTCCTTTCTTTGAAAAGATGCTGAGAAGCGACATGAAGGAGTCTAAAGAGGGAATGGTTCGGCTGGAGATGTTTTCCGAGCCTGTTATGCGAGATACACTGGAGTTTATTTACACTGGTAGTGTTCAGATATTGGCTGAACACAATGCCCGAGACCTAATCGTTATCGCGGATTATATGCTTCTTGAGAAGTTAAAAACTCTCGCTGAGGAAGTTTTACTGCAGAAGTTGAATACTTCAAATTGTATTCCAACCTACTATGTTGCTCAAAGATATCGATGCGAAGGACTTTTTGCCAAGAGCAAAACATTCATCCTTGCAAATTTCACCGCCGTATACAAAGCAAACCCGGAAGAGGTTTTGAATATTTCGAGCAAAGAAATTGAAATGTGGATTTCAAGTGATGAAATAAATGTTTGCGCCGAGGAAGATGTATTTAGGATCATTCTAGCATGGATTAACCACGATAAAAGCAAACGAAATAAATATTTCGCCGAGTTATTTCGTCAAGTTCGACTTGTTTATGTATCGCGTGACTTTCTATGCAGTGATATCGTGACAAATGTTCTCGTGAAAGACAACGAAGGCTGTTTGGATCTTGTGGAGGACGCTATGAGGTTGATTGACTCTAAAGACTTTGGCAATCTCTCTGTTACGCCTAGAAAGTCGCTTGAGACCCCTGTTATAGCGGTAACTTATACTGGATTTGACAGCACTAATTTGGACTGGGTTAAAGATAGTCAATGTTATTTTCCTCGTGAGGATAGCTGGTGTAGTCTAGGTGAGATCGGGCCAAGTTTTTCAGAGATTAGAAACACTGTCTCTTGTCGAGGTAAACTGTATAGTATTGTGCCGGGTCATTGTCAACTGACAAGGTATGATCTATGCTCTAACTCTTGTGTGTCATTACCACAGAGAGGAGACAGGGAATTTCGGAGAATATTTGTTAGTAATGAAGACGAAATGTACGTTTTGGTGACTGATACGAAACCACTTTTCGACGTAAGCGGGGACCTTCAACGGGGTCGTGTTTCCTACCTCACGAAGTATAAACCCGAATCAAACTCATGGGAAGATAGTGAAGATATATCATATTTTGATAAGTTCAAATCCAGAGGATATATTTCCATTGTAGTCAAAGATAATTTTGTTTATTTTATTGGCGGTGTAGAATTCAGGTGCAGTGATGTGTTCGAGTTCTCAACAGAAGTTCACAGGTACGACCTTAGCAGAAACCAGTGGGACAAAGTAGCTGACCTTCAAGAACCAAAAATCCCCCTTTGCGGAGCTGTGGCGAACGGAAAAATTTTCATCTCTGGAAGAATGAGGAGCTCTAAAAAGTGCCAATGTGAAGTATACGATGAAACAACAAACGAGTGGCAGTTTTATTGCAAGTTTCAAGATCAACCCGCGCGCATATCCCAAGCTCTTGTCTGTTGATGGAAAACTGTATGCTCTGGGCATGATGTTTAAAAATGGGAAGTGGGGAACAGGCGCCTATACTTCACTAGATCCAAGAGTTCAATGTTATGATCCTGGCAAGAATAAATGGAAACATAAAACTGAAATTTCTTTCCGATGGCACCAGCACCGCATCTTATGTGCAAACGCCTATTCAATGAGAATCTTTAAAGGATTCCTCGACTATCAACTGAAAAGCTTTCCTTCTGAGCATGCCATGCCGACCATTCGCCATCTTGGAAAGCAACGCCGAGACGAAGTTGATGGACGGTTGATGAAGGTTGATACGATACCGCCGGCTCCAGGTTCCTCGGTCAGAGGCGACCAACCGCTGACCGAGGTGCCTGTAGACCCGGTGCCGGCAAGATCAACCCAACGCAAATGCTGCTTCATCTTGTGACCGAAACGCCTCCCTGCTCCGTGTACTTTCGAACAGCTGTTACGCAATAACAAATATTAGGCTGTGCGTAGAAAGTAAAGCCTCGCATGCTTGGAGATTAGTATAATAGTACTGGCAGAAAGTGCCAACCTTTGAAACTAAGAGTTAAAATATAGACATGGCATCATTTGAACCTGTTATATGGCCAAAACTCCCACAAGTCTCCTGTAGCTCAGTGGTAGAGAGCGTCCAACCAGTGCGAGGAAGGTCATAGGTTCGACTTCTGTTGTAAGAATACGGAAAGTCTTTCCAAACTAACTGATAAACATCTTTCTCATGACCTCAATGTTCATAAACATTATTATGTAGGTAAGCTTGCCGAGCTTAAAGCTAAAAAACAAACCAGGAAACTGGCCATGTACTACGTAGATTGTATTATAACGTAAAGATAAGATTCTAGACATGACAGACGTCTGCATTCACTATTCATGGGGAACTACGCACCCCTGGTCCCTGGAGCGTCACGGTGTCAAAAACAGATCTCGTAAATTGTAGTAGCAACGATCTTAGTCACATCAATCTCGTTCCCAGGGTCCTCGTTACCCTTGTCCAGCGGTGGAGCGGCCAACAAGGACCTCTGGGATAGTGATCGCTTCCCCCCAGAAATCCTTGTTGGCCGCTCCACCGCTGGACAAGGGTAACGAGGACTCTGGGAACGAGATTGCAGTCACATTCGTTAGACACTTTACCTTGCCCCAGTCCTGCAATGTTCCTAAGAATGACTTATGACGGATGTGCTAAACCACGAAACAGCGAAACACCGAAACAACGAAACAGCTATTTTCTTTTTAATTTTTTTTTTAACGAAACACCGAAACAGCTTTCTGTAATGGATTTTTTCTGATATAATTTCAGTTGGAAAGCTAAAGATACGTGAAACGGTAGGGGCGGATCCAGGAATTTTTGATAGGGGGGGTCCGACCAGGGAGGAATTAATGGAAATAGACAGCAGTAGTGTTCGGGGGAAGGCATGGGAAGGTGGTCGCCACCTGCCAGGTTTGGGGGGGCTCCCCCAGAAAAAAAATTGAGATTTCAGTCTCTGAAAAGTGCATTTTGGTGGAACCTAGAAATCTTTTTGTTGTGGATAATGGTGAAGGCACTTTAATTTATTATTCCTTTTTCGTTTTTACATTCACTGAATTGCTCAGTTATCAGTATCATCAGTGATCACTTAACTTCATTCAATTACACTTTACGGTGACCAAATGAAACTCACAAAATAAAAGTTCATTTTTTTGGTGATAAATATTGCAATTCAAGAGCTCAATGGCACGTCCAAACAAAGCACACACATAAGCTCGCTGGTTCAAATTAAACTTACAGGTCTTGCATAAATGTTTATTTTTCAAAATGTAAACAAGTCTTAAGCCTGGTTTTCACTTGCGACGCAAGCACAAGCACAAGCGCAAGCAACATACGCAGACGCAGTAACGCGTTGATTTGTCCTAAACAATAGGCACTGAGCTAAGACACTGATGATCAACACGTTACTGCGTCTGCGTATGTTGCTTGCGCTTGTGCTTGCGTCGCTAGTGAAAACCAGGCTTTACGAATCGAAAGCGAAATAATCCAAAGTTCTTACACGCTGAGTTTATAGATCGCCATGAAAGACTGCTTTGCGAGCAGGGCTGACCATTAGAGGGTAGTAAAATAAAAATACAATTCGAACACGTCTGGTATTTTGCAATTAACCAATTGATAGTCGTGTGCGTTCCTTCAGTGGTAAGAATTTCAGTTTCACATCCATGGATTGTGATTGGTGGATTTCTATCCACTTGCTTGTTGTCGTAATTATGATTGACAGCACTGTAAAGCGCAATCATTGGTTGGGTTTTGAACTTACGAGTCTGCACCGTTATTGAAAGACGCAGTAATGATTGACTGACATAATAAATTACAGTTTTCAATATACACCTTTTCCCATTATTTTTCCAGTGTTTTATTGTTATTCTGAGCGAAAAATCAATACCAGCACCTGAGAGACCACCTCTTGTTTGGTAATCGTACGAAGTTTCTTTAGGTTAGGTTCTGCCTGAGTTCTACCTGCAGAGCGTGAGTTTACACAGATGATTTTTGATGCGATTTTAGCCGCGATTTGAGTGGCGATTTTCAGCGCGATTCCAAATCGCCCGTGTAAAATTAGCCTGATTTGTCGCCTCGAAATCACCGCTGTTTGTGCTCGAATTTTGATACGATTTATCAGTGACTTTATTACTAAAAAGCGACTTAGGTGGACATCACATATCGGCATGAAATCGAAGGTAGTTTCAGCACGGGCGCAAACAACCGACACAAATCGCGCGCTAAAATTCGTAGCCTGCGTAGCTGGTCTAGCTGGCGGTCTTGTTGGCGCGCGAAGGCAAAATTTAGCGGCAAAGCCGCTATCGCGAGCGGCGGAGTATTTAACTTTGGCAATAAATGCGGAATGCGGCGGAGTTAGATGGCAGTACGTCCAAAAGACATTGCTAAGTAAAAACATGTCAATCGGAGCATACCCTGGCTCCTGGTTAGAATTTATATTTATTATAACTATGACTATTAGAACAAATAGAAAAACTTAAAGCCTTGATTGTGTCTTGATATTCTTTCACCGATGATAAAATCCTTTCTCGTGCAGGTTACATGCAATCGCGCGCGGTAGAATGTCCATCGACGACATTTTAATTATTGCGTCAAAGTTTTCACTTCAGACTCAACTCAGTCCCAGCACGGTGGAAACCGTGTTATTTGAGAGAGAGAAATGAAGACATTTATTCTGATTTGTTTTCTCGTAAGTAGCCTAACGTGCCCGACAACTGCTTCCACAAGCATCAACGAAGATGAAGGTAATAATTTTTTTAGTATCTACGCACGTTCCGCATTAAAAAAAATATGTTTATAAGCGATGAGCAGCGCACATTGATGGCACATGTTTAACATGGACAGAGTTAAAGCTCTTCAATCTGATTTTCGAGCTGATTTAGTTATCCTTAAGAAAACTAACGCAAACTTTGATGTTAAACGGCGTTTACAAGTCATAAGTTGATGAATTTCAGGTTAGATTGAGAAGTAATTTTTTTCAACTTCCCTAAACTTCGCTTCATGGATTTTCAATTTGTTTTGGTCTTGTTGCTATGGATATTAATATCTGACGTTTGAGCGCGCTTCAGAAATTGCGTCATTTTGAGTTTTGATTCGTTTTCAACCGTTTTCAATAGTCTACTTGGAGCACAGGGGGCATACAAGTTGAGAGGATTAATAAAGAATAATGAATAAATGAATCATTACCTGGTTAATTCTTGTGTTTCTTTTGTATTTCCCTTGCGCGAACTTATAGGAATGACCGCTACCCACATTTTCTGCACCAGCATTAAACTCGCACCCAGATCTTCTCGCTTTCCGGAAATTTTTTTCCCCTATATAATATATTATATAGGGTGCGAGTTTAATGCTGGCGCAGAAAATGTGGGTAGCGGTCATTCCTATAAGTTCGCGCAAGGGAATACAAAAGAAACAGAAGAATTAACCAGGTAATGATTCATTTATTCATTATTCTTTATTAATCCTCTCAACTTGTATGCCCCCTGTGCTTGGAGTTTGCGAGAAAGAAACGAAAATGGGAAATCAAACGAAATTGCCACGAGCTTCAGTTTTTACGCGGACAAGCATTTTATCTGTTGCGTGCGTTTTTCGCATTTCGTTCAACAAGGACAGAGGAAAAAGACTATTTGTAGTCTTAAAAGCAAGAACAAGCTCCGAAACATGTACCGCATTTCGCGCAACATAGCTGACTCGGAACAAAGTACTGATGTTTAAAATTATTTAACCAAAATGGTTTTTGCTGTACCTTTGCTCTCAAAGAAGGAAAGTCGAGAAGATCACCGTGTTAAAGTCAGAGATAACTAGAGGGCAGGTTATGACTGATCGCTGTGTCGCGCCATTGCGCGTAATGTTGCCGATAGCGGATACACGTTGAAATTGTTGTTCGCAATGTTTCAGAAGATGAAATCTATTCCACACATGCACGCACAGCGGACCTATTTTTAATTCCCTTGTCGTTATAAATACTTACAGTTTGTGTTTGAATTTTGCTTTAGGAGTTACGTTCATCACAATTGATGACGATTTCAGCGGAAAAATTCCTCCATCGATGATCAAGATTAATTTGAGTTCCATCCATTTGTTGGTGACTGTGCGAGTGGATCCAATAAATACTGAAACAGCCAGCGCCTCTGCTCGATTTGAAACTGTGAATCTCTTCAAGCGACAAGTAAGTCACGATATATTTGTTTTTATCAATAGAGCATAATACCTCCACCCCTCCCCCTCAGTCTTCGGACATGGTTGTTAGGCGAGCTCACGTGTCTGTGTAATTTCTATTGCTCGTTCTTTATTACTCATTTGTTTCGTTTTTCATGATTTTATTTCACAGAAGAAGTCAAACATTGAAGAGATTGAGAACTGCTTGCCACAAAATAACGAATCGATTGCAATCGAACAGACTCCGCCTCTCCCGGAATTACGAAAACTCAGCACCAACCCTACACTGGACGAAACGTTAACGTGCATGATGTAAGTAGATGATTGTTGCAAGTCTTGCTACTGAGGATTTCGCTAATGTAAACTATTGTATTTTACAAGGATTTCTCTCATTGAGAAAAATCATGTCTTTACACTGTAAAAGGTCGGGAACTCGGGTCTAAGGAGGTCGGAAGACTACGGGACCGGATTGGAGTCGGTATGTGGCGGAAACTAGGAAAAATCGTGATATTGCGCAATATTTCGCAATATATAGAAAAAGCCACCAAGATGAACGGGAAGTTCATATCTTCTAGCCTGAGGTCAGACTCCTAAAGAAACTGCCTGGCGCGGGAACGAAGACGCCCCAGGCCCCCAGGCCGCGCTTTTTCTTTAGGAGCCTATTCTCAGGCTAATATCTTCCCTCTTCCACCCCCGTCTTCGGATGTGGCTATAAGGCGAGCTGCCGAAACTGTGGAATTTCTATTGCTAGTTCTTTATTACTCTTTTTTCATGATTTTATTCCACAGAAGTCAAATATTAAAAAAACATTGATACAGCTTGCCACAAAATGAATCAATCGTAATCGATTGATGCAATCTGTTGGATTGCTTCGTTTTGTGGCAAGCTGTCCTCGTTCCTTAAAGCTCATTAATATCTCCAAAACCAAGCCATTATTTTCTCTTGCCGCCAAAACTCAACTCAACCTCGACTCAACTCATCCACGTTTTCGATTTC